CCGAAAAGCAAGAAAAAAAAAAAAAAATCCACCGCAAGGGGAAAAGTAGGAAAGTGTCGAGTGGCAAACGTCAGCATTGTAACAAAAAACATAATAAATTCATGAAATTCGTGATCTAACTGAATAAGACAATAGAGTTAGGTGACCGATAATCACTTATTGTGCCATGCGGAAAAAGTTTAAATGCGAATGAGTCACTATAATGCTTATAACTTCAATAAATGAACACCATTAATTGTGAATCAGTCACTAGTTATTAACTTACAATAAACAAACATAATGTTTCCCTAATACACGTGTTCACCAAATGCCATTGCAAACTCTATCATCAAAACTAATTACCATCAGAATTTGGTGAAACTACAAGATTGGGGAGTATTTGAAAACAATATTGGAAAAAAAAGGACCAACCTCAAATCTCAATCCCTCCCCCCTTTGCATGAGATCCAAGACATGGCGAATCTGCTAAAGAAAACAAAAACACAGAACCAACTCCATAAGATTCAAAAAAAATGATTGTGTAAAGGAAATAAATTCACAAGCATGAATTTTGCTGTACTAAATGGAAACTCAATTTATCTTTAAGCAATGTGGTCAGGACCCAGACAATGGATCATTTGAAAATTATTTATCTGCAAATCATCAACCACAAATTTAAACTCCGGAAGTCCATAAAACCAATAAATTGCAAGTGGAAATATTATTAAGTGGCGAGAATTTACTTCCCAATACTATACAGAAAGTCCAACTTACAGAACCCAATTTCTACTTACAGAGCCCAATCTCAAGTGAGTGATTTTTGTTCAGTGCCTGCTTAATTTCTGTACCGTGGAAGGTTCAAAATGGACTCTGGATTTCAGGTGATTTAGGTTTAAGGATTTTCAATAACCATAAAATGCTTCATAATTTATCTTCTTGTTCTTTAATTCACAGATATCCCTATGGTGGAATTTCCCTTCATTTTCTTTGGAGTCCACGCAATTATTATTGGTTCTTCATAAGAGAGACTAGGAGATTTTTTTTTAGATTTCCCAAACATTTGTTTTTCAGTCTTGTTTGGAGGTTTTGAGTTCGACTCTCAATGAAAGCATTACCTTTATAATACACATTGAATAATTTTAGATTTAAATTTATACCGAACAAAAAAGAATTAATCAATTTCATGTAATCTTTTTTGCATCATGATACATTGATTCTTCACAAACAAAAATGAAGTTTTAGTATGCATATGTACGGCAGAAGTTTTCGCATGCATATGTACCGTGGACCTTCTTTGATTGACAAATCACTTTTCTGAGTGACAAATAATACCCTCCTTGATAGGTCTTTCGCCTCAATTCATATTTAGCCGCGAGCAATCTTTTTGTTCAAAACTCTATCAAGTGCTTCAAAAGCTCTTAATAAATTTATAATACGATCCAAAATTCATCTCCAATTAAGTTAGATTTTCCTTTCCATTTTAGATTTTAGGCTTTTAAACTTTAGGTGTCAAATTGTCAGTTCTGTATGCTTCCGGAAGGAATATGATTTGGGGACAAAAACTGAATAATTTAGAATGTAAATATCTTTCCCATTGTTAAAGCCCTTATAGTTCACCAACTTTTTAATTTTAAATTACAATTGTAAGCAAGTTACAAGGATACAACCTCACAACCTTTCTTAAACAATGATAACAAATAATCAATAAATCATGGTTTGGCAAAAAAATAAACAAATAAAGCCATGATGCATATGTTCAAATTCCATAAGCAATTCCTAATTTTCATTCATGCTTTTTCTTCACTTTTTTATAAACTTTCACAATCTGCAAACTATGCCTAAAGAAATGTTCTCAAAAAAAAAAATTCATTGTGATTAATGTATCACTAGAACAGCCATAGAAGCTGAACCTCAATAATCATATAAAAGCTTTTCTTTCCTCTGATTATCAAGCCATTGCGCACGCTAAGCTATTCCATACTAGATTCATGTCTAAATGCAGAAAACACAACTTTAAGGCAGATACAAAACCCAAAAAAAATCACCGAAAAAAGTTGACACACAAGCAAAGTTTGGACAGAGTAATGCGTACAATAAAGTGGAAAAACAGAGAAGAAACAAAATAAGAGAAACAAGCTAAGGTGGACAATAGAAAGATAATCACACAAACAAATAAAACAATTACCACCATCCATAACAAAAACCAAACTTCAAGAACACAAGAAATACAAAAACATACCTCGGACATTAAACTCGTTCTTCCTTCACCACCGGCAGCCAAAGTTCTCAACGAGTGGGGCAGTCCAAGAGCACCACCATCCAAATTCTGCCTCTCGGACAATCCTGCCCTCAAGCCCGACAAATGCCGACCATGAACACCGGGCCCGGACGAAATCTGTGACGGGCCTAACTGTCTGCTACTCTGACCACTTCCAGACGACTCAATACCCGCAGACGTTAACAATGACCTCCGAACAATTTCCGATAGCCTACGAGAATACTGTGGCCTTGATGAGCTAACACCAGAAATGGGTCCCACGCGAGAAGTAGATCCTATCTCGGGATGTTCGGAAATGGTTCTTCTCGCCACATTTCGAGGCGCGAGTTCCTCATAAAGCATAGGATTCCTCAAAAGTCCCGTCTGCTCATTGTTTTCGGCAATGGGCGGAGGAGGGTTAAGGTCGAGCAAATGATTATGAAGAGAATGATTCTCTTCCAATGGGCGTGACTGTGACCCGTTTATCCTCAAGCGCAAATTCCTCCGAGAAAATGATTCGGGCCTCAGTCTTGAGTTTATCTGTTCGGGCCCTGACCCGTTTTCCATGGGCCTTGTTGAGCTACCTGACCCAGATGACTGCCCGCCATTCACCTCGAGTGATTTTCTCTTGCCCGACGTGCGGCGGCCGTCCTCCCCTGCCACAGAAGGCAAATCGGAGGAATTTCCGATAATATGACAGCTGTCGTGCTCGGGGTCCTCAGACTCAGCCTGCATGTTGAGGTCTCGAGGCTGAGTGGTATTTGAGTTGAGATCGATATTACTATCGGGAGGAAGAATATTCGACGTCTGACAATGAGACCATGCGTGTCCTCGTTTTCTTTCATTATTTTCACCTTGAGTGTGTGTAGTGGTGGAACTAGTTTCGCCTAAGCTCCACTCGACGTTTAGCAGACAATTTGCTTCGTTTGTTGATGTTCTGTAGTCATTATGGGGAGATGTCTGCATATCAGTCCAAGATATTTGGGAGTCTGTAACAGGCTCGTTTGATGTGGAGCCATGCTCGAAGCTCAAGTTATCGGTAAGGGTAGTGACGAAATTTTTGTGCCCTTTCATTAGGGCTAAAGTTGTGACTTTTTATTCAACTGTTGTCTGTGTATTTAGAGAATGGATATCCGAGGCCTCGGGTTCAGAAAATCTGCAAGCATTAAAACTCTGAAGAGAGTTTCATATGTTTTTACCTTTTTTTAGGAAATAAAAAAAGGAAAAACTAAGAAATGGACTTAGTTTTTAATATTTGATAACTGACAGGTTTACAGAAGTGTGTTGCAACTAGCGAATCGACATAGCATGAAACAACTAATGAATGATACATGAAAATGCTATATGCATATCAGCATGACATTAGTTAACATTACTATTGGATTTCAATAAATCTTTGTTAAGAAACACACACACCATCACTGCTTTAGGCTATAGCTTTCTCTACTAGAGAACCCAGAAATTTATTCAAATAACTAAAGGCAACTATAATGCCCATTAAACAACATAAGCATGAAAAGTGGAGCATTATTTTCATATGTAGGAAATTATATTCCCTTCTACCAAATGCTGAAGTAAATTCAGAACTTCAACTCAAGCAGCAACTGGAAGCAAAATTCAAGTCCTTGCGCTAACAAATTATATGATATTCTACAATCACATTAAAGCAAGTAATTCTACAGAAAGAAAATGCCGGCTAATTGTACACCAAAGAAACTGAGTTGAATATCACCAACAAAACCGCACCATTGTACTCGGGGTAGTTAAAAAACTCTTGAGAGCTATAAAAAGAAACAGACACAAAACAAAAACTTTACAAGGTTACTGGCATGTCAAAAACTTTCAGCATTCAACCTTCCCAAGTAGATAGAGAACAATGTAATAGCCAAGTACAAAGACTAGAAACTTGAGCATACAAGTATTGTAATGNAAAAACTCATTCCAGGGGAAAAAACTAACATTGGAATGAAGAGAAAATCTGAAACAAATCAGTAATGAAACAACCATATGTAAGTCAAATTATCTGTCTGTGAAGAAAAACGAAATTAGTGAAAACCCAAAAGCAACAAAAGAATCATTCTTATTCAGATACCAAATTTAGATATATGTTTTCTCCAAGAAACAAGACGAACAACTGAGAAAAGATACTAAACTCATCCAAGAAAATCTAGGAAATATATAGTAAAACAAAAGCTCAAAGAGCATAAAAGTTAAATCCCGTAAATCAAGATGATGAAACCAATTTTGAACCCCAAAAACAGAACAGGAAGGCAAGAAGCCAAACCAGAAAAACAAGCACAACCAGTATTGACACCATCAACATATCATTACAAATATGAAGAGAAAAAGATACGAGAATCTATACCAGCCATAGAACAGCAGATGAAGCTATAGATCTACAAGTCATGACCTGAAAACAGCAATCAAAAAAATAAATAAAAGAAAAAAACAATCTTTAATGTTGTTGTGGCAAATAAACAAATTTCAAACTTTCATAAACGATCCAAAACACCCCTTCAATTCACCTCTTGAAAGAAAAGGCAGAAAGAACAAAAATACATGAACAAAAAGCCCATACCTCATACAGAAAAATAGAGAAAGAAAGAGTTAGAGAGAGGTAAAAAACAAGAAATGGCTGTGAAATGAAATGAGATGAGATGGAAATGAAACTGGTGGGTGCTGTGGTGTGGTGAACAAAATTGGGAGATGGTTAATGGGGATTAATGAGGCACAGTAATCTTTAATTTCCCAAAAAAAACAACAAACACGCGCACATCACCACATAAGCCCATAGGGCCACCACACTTGACACACGCAGACAGTCATTAGACAGCCTATAAATTTTGAATGAAGAAATTAATAAAAAGCAGGGACCTTTCTTACTAACTTTTTTTTCATTAATGAATATGAATGGAAACAGCAATCGCCAATCAGACGAAAAATGAAGATTTTAAAGATTGTGTTAGTTATGTAGTATTAATAAAGGGTCATGCGTTCCTGTAACCTTGTTTTACCAAATGTCACCATTTACCTTCTGATGGGCTCTCTCTTCAACCATTTTATTTACCATCAGAAGGGCTTTTTATTCAACGCTTCAAGAACCTATTCAACCATTTTATTTACCATCAGAAGGGCTTTTTATTCAACGCTTCAAGAACGCACCGAACGGCAAAAAACAATTAATAAATGAGTTTCTTTCATGTGCTTTTCCTCTTTGCTTTTTTGTTCGGCCTCGTTTCTTGTGGTTTCCTCTCAAAATCCTCACGCCAAGAACCACATGTCCCTTCTTTGCATTTAATACGTTGTTTTAAGATTAACGTTTTTACAGATTGTCTTTGCTCCTTTTTTGGGGAATTTTTAGGCTTTGCAAAAGAAAGAAAGAAAAGAATGTCTGCGGTGAGAGGTGGGATTTTCAATCTTATTGTTTTCCTCAACTGGAGTGACCTAGTTGGCCTTGATTGTACTCTGCCTTTGAATTGTAATTTCTATTGTTTCTAAACTAAAAAATCTGAGTTGATGCCCGTTTCACATAAATTCTAGTAGCCATTCATAATGTACTGATACATGTTCAATGTGTATTTATTTTAATAAACGTGTCAATACACTATTTGTGAATAACTGTGGATGACTCCATAAGCCGAGCCATCCGACGGTTCCATAGTAAAACCACCCGTTTTCAAATATACATTTCCTTTTTTTATTTTCGACAAATACTTAAATAATTGAAAATCTTAAAAAAGTATAAAAGAAGTGTTAACTAACACTTAAGAACATGAAACTTGGACCTACCCCCTTGAAATTCCAAACCAAGCTAAGGAGTACAACTTCATCAACGTGTAGAGATATAAATGAAAAAGGAAGATCTTCTTTCTTTGAGGAAAGCTTTCTCTACAAACATTCCTTCTTCTTCTTCCTTGTTTTGCATTTATTCTTCTTGCAATTTTGTCCTGGTAACTTTGTTGAAAATTGTAAGGGACGATGGGACGGTCACTAATGCTTGCTAATTAGTAGAAAAAGGCTACCGAGTGTAGACGGTTAATGGACGCGGCACATTTTTACCGATATAGGCAGATAAATTTGTTGAACGTCTCTTTTTAACCCGTATTTTGCTAAGCATTAACGGTCCTTGCCGCTCAGAACGATAAATAGAATACGCAATTATATAGATGTAGAAAAAGAAATGTAAAGAACAATGGATTAGAGGAATCAAACCAGAACCTACTTGATCCCAATATAATCTCAAACATTAGCTACCTTACCAACAGGTAATTGTTTATGCATACAAATAATTGTTTTTTCTTGGTATATTGAAGAAAATGCATCACACTGTTCTTCTGTATCATGAAAATAAAATTGGCGGTGCCACTAACAGTTAGAACATTCCATTTAGCAAAGTTCAATAACCAACACTTGAGTAACAGAACTTTTTTCTATTTTCAACATTATGTCTACCGAGATAGGGTGCTCACTCTGAAGGACCATTAAAGCAATTGGTATTTAAAATAATTTCAGCTTTGGCAGTGTAGAGTCCAGCAACAAATAAAACACAAGACTTTCAAATTATATTACTCCATCATAAATAACTCAAAGAAATTCTACATTTTATAGACAGGTGGGGCATTTCAAAGTTTGCTTCATGAAATATGACACTAGCATTTACTGTCAACTCACAAAATGGATCATGGTACAGATGATAATAGATAGGGGCATATTATATAATTTTCAATATAAAAACAATCCTGGGTACCATAAATTGCATTGCAGTAATTCATTTAGTCATTCAACAAAATTAGAGCAACTCTAGTCATTCACCAATGGATAGGCTTCTTAAATTCGCTCTTAGAATTCAAAATATGACTCTTACTTGTCTTTTCATAAATGACAAGAAACATATGAACAAAAAGGTTAGCAGACAACTCTCACACATTGTAGAACTAATAGGAAGGAGCCACACCACAACAAATCACTAAGTTACCATAACTCAAAAGCTCACTATTCTTCACCAAAAACCAGGACACTTGAAATTATATATGAACACTATAGGTAAACATGGAAGCATGATTTACATATACTATTGATATGACCTCATCTCCCATCAATTATACAACACATGTTCTTATCTTAATTATATATTTCTTCTTATTTATTATGTGGTCTAATTGTGTTTCCAGATCGGCTTCCCTTGACATAGGTTGCTACGAACTTCAGTACATAAGCTTGTCTTGTTGGTCGTACATCGACCTATAGGTCTCCAGGTCGAGTTATTGTATTGGTCAGACAATTCAATAAAATAAAAATAATCATGTTTAAGTCAAATTTATTATGATTTGTTTCACTTTTTTTTTTTTGGTTCCCTATCCCACTTATATAATATAACATATTTTTTCATAAAACAAAAACATCTAAAATTTAAAAAATACCTTTTTTATTAGTTTTTAAATTTTTGTATATATTTTTTAACACACCCGTGTAATACACGGATATTGTACTATACCTCTTAAATTTAACAATAATTTTTTTAATCAAGCACCCGTGTAATACACAAATATCGTCATAAGATATGGGTGTATCTACCAATATTACCCCTGGGAATCTATCATTATATAAAAAGAATAATCATTTTTTAAAAATGGTAAGTCAAATTCTTAGTCAACATGTTTTGCACTAATTACTTGCCATTAATGGTAATAAATATTTTTTTTAAAGTTTCCCTGTGCAATTAATGCTTTTCAAGATTTTTGGGATGTTGTTATTTTGTAATTGACCAATGCACTGATTTTGCGTTAGAAAATCTTATCCCATTAAAAAATCTTATCCTATTAAATCTCCTTAATATAACACTTATTTTATATTAAGAAATAATAATAAATTTTAATTTTCAATCCTTCACAAATTAAAGAATCTTATAAATTAAATGTCAGCACTTAAAAAACATTGGCCTCTCCAAAACTCTATCCGGATTTTATTTAAAATCACGAATACCTTGCTCAATCAATTCTCCAAAATATAAGTCCGAGTTATTGTCTAATAAATTTTTTTAGGGTATCTACTATATAAAAAAGCAATTCTCCAAAATATAAGTCCTCTAATAATTTTTTTTTAGGATATCTACTATATAAAAAAATTAGCGCATGTTGTATTGTCTAATTATTTTTTTATGGTATTTGTAATTACTAATATTTTTGTTTAAAATTATTAAGGTTGGTTAGACCAACGGTTTTTTTAGACTATAATATATAATAGTGGATATAACTCTAAATATATTTTTATATATAATATTATATATAATTTAAACATGTTGTTTGAGTATTTTTTTTTACACATTCGTTAAAGTGTATATATAGAGAGAGAAATGTTAACTTTAAGTGATTTTAGATACTTTTTTTATAAAATAGTTTAGAAAAAAATGAGATAATTTCATATTTTTCAAGAATAATATATAATATTTTAGATACTTTTACACACTTTGTATAATAGTTTAGGTATTCTTAATGTTTTAAAAATATTTAGACAAATTTTTACATATTCTCTAGATTAAGAAATTGTTTTCCTTACAAAATAGTTTAGAAAAATTTTAGGTGACTTCACACATATTTCAAAAATAATGTAAAATATTTTGAATACTTTTTAGGTATGTGATATAAGATTTTGTATTACATAAAAAGAGAATAAGAGTTATAAAGCATGGTAATTTTAGATATAAAATTCTATTTTATTTGTTATAACTTACATGGAAGTTATGTTTTAATTATCGATATCATCTCAATGCCTTGCTTTGCTTTTTTTTACTTCGTTTCGCGAGACAATATCTCTTATTAGACTCATAATATTTTATATAATTTTAAACATATTGTTTAGACAATTTTGTTTTGTACACATTATACATGTCCACATACACATATACATATACATATGTTAAATATAAATAGTTTTAGGCATGTTTTTTTTTACAAAATAGTTTAAGAAATTTTTAGATGACTCCACATCTTTCGATATTTAAAATTTTAGATACTTTTACATATGTTATAAAATATTTTAGACGTTTTTAATACTTTAAACATTCATTTTTTTCAAATTCTTTTATACAAGATAATTATATATTGTTTACAACTTATATACGATAAATTATATTACATATGATGTTCACATCTTTAATTTATAATTATTAATTAATATTATTTAACTTCATCTTTAATTTATAATCATTAACTAATATTGTTTACCCGTACATTGCACGGGATACGCACTAATTTTGTTAAAAAAGCAACATAAAATTTTCACACGAAATACAAGTATACAACAGGTTAATGATTAATTTTTCAAATTATTTCCCACCAAAATGTCATGTCCGCATCATAATACTTTTTGACCCTTCCGACCAATATCCAGAAAATTCTCTCTCATTCTGCAATATGTATTCCTAATAATCAACCAAAATTCGTAACTTGATTTCGCACACACGCGCACAAGCACTCACTACCATGATTGGTCAAAGGATATAAAAAAAAAATAAGTGCATGAACTTCTAACGTTGAATCATTTTCACCTTCAACAACTTTCCACCTCAAGTTATGGCGATGAAAGGATATTCATTTGATTTTTAAAAAGTTTCTTTTGTTATGTTAGACAATAACGATTAAAAGAAGAAAAATATTTTGAATATGAGGGCGTGTATAATTGTGCAACAATTAATTTCAACTAATTAAAACTGGAACTATATTTGAAATTGATTGGATATGGGTAAACACACGAGCATATTAAATGCTGATTCTTGAGAAAAATATATATTTACATTGAATAAAATTATTCTTGAGAAAAATCTATATTTACACTGATCGAAAAATATATATTGACATTGATCAAGTTATAGACGGGAAATTGGAAAAACAGTACTAAAATGTAGTGAAAACTGAACAAGAATTATCTGAACCAAAAAATAGTCATTGATTATTTATCTTTTTCAAAATCAAACCGAAAAAATAATCAGTACGATCTGAGAGATTTTACGAATATCCGTATAAAAAATCGAATCGTGTAATATTGAAATTAAGAACTGAACTACAGCTTTAGATAATTAATAATCTCCTTATATACGATCCGAATTGTACTAATCTGAACCATACTGATGGCACAAAATTTTACTGACTAAATTGTATTGAAATGTAAAGATCTCCGAACCAAATTGTCCTAAGTTTTTGTACAGTTCGAATGTTTTATTTTGACGATCTCCAATTTTTTTTTTCTTTTTTTTTTTTTCAATTTGAAGGATTTCTAAATTTTCGACCGAACTGTCTCATGTTCAGAAAAACGAGGGCTTTAATATGTAGACAAAAGGGATGTGACAGTATTTCCAAGTTTCATATAAAAGTTGCAGCTAGCAACTACAATATTCGGCTGTAAGACACTTATGTATGCATAAAAACCCAAAAACGGAATAATAAAAAATAAAAAGAAAAATATATCCGTATCCAATCACGGTTGGTTTCCTCAACTTCTGGTTGTCAAAAGCCACACTCTAATTTCTAATTTAAACCCGATAAAGCACGTTGATTTCAGACCCTTTCAGTTGAATTAGGCACAAATTAGGCCAATATTAAATAAAAATAAAAAGAAAAAGTTGGTGGATTAGAGTTATTAATTAATGAGGATAGATAAATTAAGGGGCTCATCATACAACTCGTCTCTCATCCTTCCTACATAGAAAAGCAATGAAAAATAATGGAACTGGCAAGCTGCAGATAATAATTATAATTAATATTACAAAACGAACCAAAGTTAAAAATTAACATTAAAATTAAATTAATCCTAAAACATTCTCCCTTCAGGATGCAAAGGGAAAAGCTTCAAGGTCCGATTTTCCACTTCCTCTTCATTAATTTGGTCTTGCGCTGCTGCTGTACATTTTTTGTTGACTTCTTCTAAGCATTGGTCAAATGCCCAAGATTTGCACTTCCTTTTGTATGGTGTACCATCAGACAATTCCTCATCCAGCCCACTTGCCTGTCACAATTAATTTCTCATCAGGCATATAGTTAAATTAATTAATTATATTTTTACATACTATTAAATTGAAATGTCATGATTATCAAAATAAATTAATTTTTTTTTTTTTTTATTTTGTTAATGAAATTAGCGTACCGGGGATAGTAAGAGAGTGGTGGTTGGAGGAGAAAATGGGGTTTTGGGGCTGTGAGTGAGGCCGAGGCTATTGCGCTTTTGCTTCTGACGCTCGCGGGCTTTGTGGTTCTGGAACCAGTAAAAGACGTTTTTGCCCTCGATCTTCCCGTACTTTGCGAGCTGTGCGGTGATCTGCTCGATTTGGTGGGCGTTCGGGGTTCGCATCCCGCTTCTGTACAACATCTCCAGTATTCCAATCTGTTCCTGTGTCGGGTTCCACCGGGTCCCACCTGCTTGTGCTTCCACCTGTAAATCAACATTAATTATATAAATAAATATCCACTGGACTACTGCTCAAAATCCAAATTGTAATTTTCTTTTACTTGATTTTAATTTTTTCAAAAAAGCGGCCTCCCAGTTTGAAATGCTAGGTAATAAAAAGTTAGATTCTAGTTGATTATGCTGGGGATTTCCAATCTTGGAGTATAAATAATTAAAGGGTGATGAATTTTAGGACGAGAAGTAATCTTGACCGTCAAATATTCAATTACGAGAAGGATACTCCGTGAAAATCAGTAATTAATTGAATTCAAGAAGATTAATTATGCTCAAAACAGTAGAAACGGTAATTAATCCACAGCTCAAAAGCAGCTGCTGCTTCACCTAATTTTCCTTACCATTTTATTCTAAAAATTAAAAAACACTTATTCCAAGAATAATTAATTAATGAAACAACAAAGGAACGAACCCATGCATATGTATGTATCATGTATGTGTGTGTGCAGTGAGTGACACGTGTGCAGGTGGTGCATCCTTCTCATGCTGCAGGCCAATGTGCCATAACATGTGAAGCTAGAAAACAAGTTTGGCATGCAACTGAAAATCGAAGTTATATGCAAGAAAAATGTGATTTATCGATCCTTTGTATACCTGAACAGATTCCTTCTTCTGATATTCCGGGGAGCCGAGCTTTGTGGGCCCACTCTCCGGCCGAATGAAGCTTTTCAGGTCAAAACCCGAGTTCATCTTTGGTGCAAGTGGCCTGAGCCGTTTGCAGCCGAGGGTTAGGGAAGTGGGTTCGTGCTCCCATAACCCACGTGCAAACTCGTGAACCTTCATTCCTTCAACTCCCATGGGTGACATTTTCTTTTCTTTTTCTTTTTTTTTTTCGATGTGGGATGAAAAAAATGGTATGGTTATATTATATAGAGTGATATATAGGAGATTGGTAATTGAAATTGGGAGTTTAAAAAAAAAAGGGTAAATGGAATATTAAAAGGTAAATGGAGAAAAAGGTAGGGGGGATTGATTTGAGGGTAGATTAACCAAAGACCAAATGATGAGGTGAGGTTGACTTGAGATATCCCATTGTTATAAAGAGGAATGGAAAGTATAATGTGTAGAGAGAGAAAAAGGTTTTGGGGATGAGAGAGGGTGGGTGGGGGAATTGAACTCCAATCTAGAGTTGGGGGAAAATTTTGAAAAAAAAGAAAAAGAAAATGGGGCAACACATAGTGTATGGCTATGCCCTTTTTAATCATATTGGCTACCATTTATTTCATTCTTTCAACTTTTTGTTAATGTATTGTTTATTGAGAAATAACTAAGGTTGATGATAGGGCACGAGTGTGAGACTGTGTTTTGATGTAATAATTGTTTTTTTGTGACAATTTATTGGTTGTAAGCAACTTTTATGGATATTGGTTTTGGATTACCATTCTAAACTAGTGCGTAGCCCGTGCGATGCACGGGTAAATTATATAAAATAATAATTATAAATTAATGAGTGAGTAAACAATATTGAATAATAATTATAAATAATTAAATGGAGCTAACATGAGATCTTGTCTAAGATAACATAAAACATGCATGTTTAAAATATTAAAAACACCTAAAATATTATATAACATATATAAGATTATGTAAAATATTACATATTATTCTTAAAAAAATTTGAATTCACCTAAAATTTTTCTAAACTATTTTGTAACCAAAACATGTCTAAGGATATTTAAATTTAACATATACATATAATTTAATCTATAGAATGCGTTAAAAATTTACTCGAAAAATATGTTTAAAAGTATAAAAAAATATTAGTAATTACAAATTACTCCAACAGAAGATTTCAAATTCGAAATCACGAAATTTAAACAAAATAAGTCAAAATTTTAAAAAAGTGTAATTTATGAAATACATGTCAAATTGAAAAACATAATATTAGCGGTTTTCAATATATAAGATTGTATCTATTTCCAAAATAGGATTGTCGGTATCGAAAAAACATAAATTTCGAACTCATAGTATTTGAAATATGAAATTTTGGTATTATTAAATTGAAAGAGTCCCAACCTTTGAAAATTATTAACTTTTTAAAAGTAATGAAATTGTTTTATGTTAGATTCAAGATTTGTTGCGATTTTTAACAAAAAAATCGTTGATTTGATTGTCCAGTAGAATTTTTCATTATATCCGATTTTGTTGCAACCAAATCCTATGGGATCTTAAAATTTAAATTTTCAATTCGAATTTGGTCTACTTTAAATTAATTTATGTAAAAATATGTAATTTCATTTTGCCTAATTCAGATTTTGTATTCAGCCCGATTTTTTGGCAACCAAATGAGAAGGAATTAAAAATTTTAAATTTAAATTTGAAATGATACTTGATATTAGATGCGATCAGTTGTTTTCTAAAGAATAATGAAATGGAATTTTGAATTCGACAAAATTATAAATATATATTTAATTTTTTATTTATAGAAAAAGATGTTATTGTATTTTGCCTAATTCAAAATTTTTGTTGAGTCCGATTTTAAGGCAACTATATAATAAAATTTTAAATTTTAAGTTCACAATGAGAACAAATTTTCTATGCAATAAGATTTTCCTCCAAAAAAAAAAGATAAGGAACTTTTGGAATCTACAAAATCGTGAACAATACCCGAAAGTACCTCATTTACAAAACTCATATAGGATGCAGTTATGGTTTACCGATTTTCTAGTAATTAATTAAAAAGAAAATTAATCACTAGATGAATTTAGAATGCATTCATGATAGTTCGCTTTTTTTGCAATAAAATAAAAAGAAAATTGAAAAATTGCCAAAAATAGAATGTAATAATTATTGTTTGACTTTTCTTTTTACTAAATTTGGTAAATGGTTAATCTTTTAATATAATGATAGATGTGTGATTAATTAATAAGTATTTATCCATTATATTGATGATATATTTGTATGTATTGCATCTAGTACCAATTAATTTTTAAGCGAAGCATAAGTGATCAATATATAGACTTATATTAATATGAGTTGTTAAATAAATATACTTGGGAAAAATATCAATAAATCAATTTACATATAATTAGGCTCCAACCCCAAAGAATTTTATATGTAAAATTTTATATTAATGCCTAATTAATTTATTTATTTGCACCTCACGTAATTTGTTCCTATACCATCACGCCGAAAAATTAATTAATCATAATTTCGTTAAACAAAAATCTAAAACTGGATTAATATTGTGTGTGCATGTGGTTAGGCAGTCTAATCCAAGTGATTAAATATTTTTTTTCTTGCTATAATGATAAGTTGTCCTCTATGTTGCTTTTCGGTGCCTCCCAATTTTCTCCCCAACTTTTTTCAATGCTAAAGGTAGGGAATGTAAAATTTAAATAAAATAAAAAAATATTCCTCCAATCCCAATACTTGAAAATGCACTCTTTGCCCCTTTTCAAGATACGGATATATAGTGTGTGGCCTCACAACAGATGAATGGGCAGACTTTTTAATCAAGTGTGTTGAAAACTTTGAAAATTTTGAAAAGAAAAAAATACACAAACACAATTGTTTATGTGCACAAAAAACAAAAATATGTGAAAACCATGTTATGTATATTATTGTAAATGTATAAAATATATGGCCTATTCCATATCTGTCTCTTTATTATTGGGAACTGTCGCTCCAATTTCCCACATAGTGTAAAACCACCAACTGATAACTTTTTATCCTGTTTTTCTGTGAGGGGAAAAAATTTATTTAAAAATGAAATAAAATAATGCTACTTAGTTTGCGCATGATACCTGATTTTTTGTATGAGGGAAAAATTGTATCTTATTGCATGATTACAGGCTTTTTGGGCTAAACATCAATGTTTAAATATAAATTATACTTGATAAGGTATCAAACGTAGAGTTATCTAACGTTGCTGTTTAAATTATGTATTCAATTATCCGCTCATGCGTTTCAAGATTTTCTATTTTATTGTTTCAATATTTTTCATTTTATGGTACCAAAAAAAAATATTTTTCATTATTGTGCGGATGATTGGGATTTCAGGTCGGATCCACTAATTATAAGACTAAGAGATTTTAAGGGACATTTTAAGAATTTTTAAGATTTGGGTCTTTTTAAGATTTTCAGATTTTTTAAGAATTATATGACATCTTAAGTCTCGGGTAGGATTTGATGTGAGATTTCGTATAAAGTTTTTTGGTTTAGAAATCCCACCGAATCTTAAAAAGTCTTAACAAATCTTAGTGTCAAATAAATTAAATACCTCATGATTTTGTAAGACTATATAAAATCCTTGTTACCAAGATCCCTCCCAATTTAGGTAAGATCCTCACAAACTTCTTTCCATATATGAAAATGTTTATTTCCTTGTAATCTCTCCTCATATATATAACTACTCAAGTCAATCCACCAAACCCCTCTTTGCATTCCACAGTTTTGCTATGAAACTAACAGTTGGCTCTATAGTAGAACCAATCTCTATATACAACAAGTAAACCATACCATATTAATAAAATAATTAGTATTTATTGAAGTACTTGTTGTATATAGAAGGTTGACTCCATTATGGAGCCAAATGTTGGCTTTATAGCAAAATTGTTGTATTCCATTAGCTCATATCTTTCCTCAATAATTTGCCTTGGACCACTTAAGTGGTTTGAGAATGAGCCGAGATGAAAACGATCGAATATGGAATTTGATATAGGATATTATCTACTTGTAGAAATAAACCGATTTGCTAGACCGGCCGAATAGATCTAACACTGAGGAAGCCACATCGGTCGAAGAATATCGGGCAGAATGAAGGGTCAGACAATATCAAGTTAAATAGTTAGGGTCGAACACAGCGGGAAACGGATGAGAAAGGTCTCGGTATGAGATATACATTCGGGCTCGGGTGCAGGAAAAATCTGGTTGAAGGTCGATTTGTAGAGCAGTAAACCATATGATCGACCACCTTATAGGTGAAGAGCAATCCAGCGCGTGACTTGATCGCAAGGGAGCGTGTGGACCTTTACGGGAATTTCCAAGGAATATTCAAGGGAATAATTACTCATGAGCAGAAGACACATGGTGTTGAGGCATTGGCGTATGGCGGTAACCACCACTGACACACGCACACTGTATGTGTACGGGCAGACAGATTCGGGCAGACGTCTGATCAAATCCGAACAACTCCTAGGGCAGGTATCTCACCCTATATATAGGGGTGAACCTTTCTTGTTAAGCACGATTTATCCATATTTTGCTCTTGAGAATTGAGAAAAACAAACACTGACTTAAGCATCGGAGGCTCTTTACCGGAAAACCCCTCCGGTGTGAAAGTTCTTTGTAGGTACGTGGCATTCTACCGGCGAAGAAGAAGGAGGCGAACCGATTTCCAGCCAGTCGAAGTGTTTGGCATTACCAGAATTATTCAACAATCAACAGATGGTGTAAAAATGTGCACAAAGTGAGGAATTCAGAGCTCAATTATGTCAAAGCAAAATTGATATGCTGCAAATAGCATTTGAACGTGGCAACAAATTTGGGTCTTGGTTGTAAGTTGTAACATATGATGGAAACGAATCCAGATATTTTGTCAGGACATCTTAATAAAACTACGCGGAGATAATTTAAATGAACTCAGATTAAGACGTTGATTGCTTTTGAAATCGACAAAATAAATATAGGGTTCAAGAAATTCTATTTTTTTATTTTTTTTTTTCAAATTTTCACCCAAATAAAATCCGTCTCCTATGACCGTGCACTTTCCATTGTGTTTTCAACTAGTTCAACTATTTTAGGGTGATAATTGCATGATATTTTAGGTAATGGTTACTTAGTGCATTTATAATAGTTTGTTGCTACTTTGGCTAATGTTGAAAGATATTGGCTATTTTTNTATGCATCCATATAAGTCTCGTCCGGCTGACTCTGCAATTTC